ACCGTACCTATCACACCACCCTCCGCCAGCCCCCCAGTCTCCTCCCTTACCACTCCGCGCCCCCCAGACAGGACCGGCCTTGGCCTCCGAGAGGACTCCCCTGGTTCCCCTCGGGCCAACCCCGAACCCCCTAAAAATTTAGAAAAACACCCCTCTAAGAAGGCATATAGTTTCCTCCTTCTTAGATCCCTCCATGCTGTCTCTGCGTGCCACCTCTCGGGGTTCCAAACCCCTTCATTAAGGCCGGCCCTTGGAATCGTGTTGGGCCATGCCTGCGCGATGGGGGAGTCGCGCAGGGCCAGCAGTTCCCTCCTGGAGTACAGTCCCGAATCGTAACAGGAGGTCCAACAGCAGAGTCGGGAAGGGGGAAAGTCCTCGTGGTGGTGGTCGAGGGGTTAGATGCAGTAAGTCCTTCTCTTTCCCTACTTATTTAATCTTTCAGGTGCTCTTTCCCTAACCTGGGACCTCTACATGTTTGGAAAGGACTCCTGGGAGACGCTTCATCAATAAAAATGAAAAACAATCACCCTCAAGCTCCATTTGTGCTCAGAGAAAATGTAAACTATTCTCCAAAAGATTTTTGTAAGAATCAGACTGATCTTCTCATGGGAATTATTAGTGGCTAAAGTAATAATTGGTAACTCAAAATTCCCTGCTTGTTTCACTTCTGAGGAGACCCAAGGAGAAGCAGGGAAAGAACATAACGGTAAAATATTTACTTTACATGACACTGCTTCTATGTTCAGTCTCGGGCTGAAGCTGGGACATCAATTTTATCAGTGTTCTTAGTATTGGGCCAGATGGAACAGTAGCCATGTCCACAACATATACAATCCACAGTTTACTGAATTAATCCAATACCTTAGATTTGCATGAAACTCTAAGCCACAAAAAACATTTTAGGGTATTATGCTGGTTAAACTAGTCATATGGAGCTGCTTTCTTCCCACTTTAGTCTAAGTATCCCAGGTCTCATCCCACTGTTTCTGTCATCCTGAGAACTGAGCAACTTCACCAGCATCCTTTTTATACCATCATAAACAGTATTTGCAAACAAGAATGGTTTTTAATATATAACTGTAGAGGAACTGGTGGAGAACCTCAGTCTTTCCCCCACCCAGTCAACATTGAGACCGCAGCACTTGTTTGTTGCAAACTGATCACCACCATAGCCATTTCTTGGCAAGATAGAAAAATATCAGATAGAAGCATCACCACATGAATTCATAACTGACTGACCAACTGCACTGCAACATGTGGGAACATTGAGGATCTACATTTACATGGAGGTAAGCATGCAGTAGAGTGCATTTTTGATTTAGATGAGGGGATACAAGGAGAACTCATCAAATTTGCAGATGACAAATTCCTCCAAGCTGGCAGGAATATACAACACTCCAGGAGATAGGCTCAAGATACATAATGATCTTGACAGTCTTGACCTAGCTAACAAAATGAAATTCAATGGTGAGAAAAGTAAGATTCTACATTTAGGTGATGCCTGGCTCAAAAGTAGCAACTGTGAGACAGATCTGAGTCCTAGGGGATAGCCACTTAAGTGTAAGCCAAAAGTGGGCTACAGCTGCCCCAAAATATAAAGTGTTTGAAGACATGAGGGGCTGACATAAAGTAGAGGGGGGTCAGCCTATTTTCCAAAACACCAGAAGGCAAGACAAGAAACAATGAATGGAATATAATCAAGGAGAGAAGCAACCTAGAACTAAGGAGAAATTTCCTAACAGTGAGAACAAATAACCAGTGGAACCGCTTCCCTTCAGAAATTGTGGGTGTTACATCACTGGAGACTTTTATGAAGAGACTGGACAGCCACTTTTCTGGAGTGGCATAGCGTCCCCTACTTGAGCAGGGGGTTGGACTAGAAGACCTCCAAGGTCCCTTCCAACTATGTTATTCTGTTAAAAAGTCAATGCAGTCCCAAGTTGCATCAACAGATGGTTAGTATCAAGATCATGTGAAGTGTTAGTACCATTTTATATTGCACTAATCACACTTGGAATACTGCATCCAGTTTTGGTCATGATAGAAAAAAGAAGTTGAGTCTCTAGAAGACGTGCAGAGAAGAGTAACAAAGATAATTAGGAGATTGGAGGATAAATCATATGAACATTTGCAGAAAGTGGATATGACTAGTCTAACAAAGAGAAGGAGTAGCAGTCTTCCAATATTTAAGAGACTACTATAAAGAGGAGGGGGTCAACCTATTCACCAAAGAACCTGAGGGCAGAAAAAGAAGTAACAGATGGAAACTTATCAAAGAGAGGTCCAGTCTAGAACTAAAGAGAAATTTCTTGACAGTGAGAACAATTCATCAGTGGAATGGCTTTCCTCCAAAAGTTGTGAGTGCTCCATCGCTGAAGATTTTTAAGAAGATACTGGACAGCCATTTGTCCAGAATGATATAGGGTCTCCTACCTGAGCAGAGATTTACACTAGAAGATCTCAAAGGTCCCTTCCAACTCTGTTATACTGTTATATTTTGTGGTCTAGGACACTAAAATAAAAAACCTATGAGAAAAAATTCCAGATCCATTGTTTCATAATATATTTACAACTATCTCATGTGGTTTTTAAAGTGTGTACACGCTTTTGGGCTACTTGTTCAGAAATCTTAGTCAAAACAAATGATTTTTGCAGAGGAGAAAACTCCATGGAGTGGGGCAGATTATAAAGTCTGCCCCTTAGAAGTCAGTTTCATGACAGTGAATCCCCCCCCAGGGTTATAGCTGGTGCACCCAGCATCCTGGGACAAATACAATGGCTTATTTTCTGTATGGCCTCCCCTGCCCCAATTCTCATGGCTATATTGCCAATTCCATTCAAGCTCTTCCATTCTGATCCTGGGACTGTTCTTTGTTCTAGGAACAGTCATCAGGTTTGATTCCACTTATCTGAGCAACTTAATTCACTTTCAAATTCAGGACATCCCTTTGGTCCCCCTGGTGACGCTCATAGCACAATAAGCTAAAATACATTTCCTCTTTCATTTCCCAGTCAAAAGGACATGCAGCTAGTCATACATCAAAGCCCACTATTCACTGGGCAAATCATTCCATTATTGTTATAGGTGACTTCATAGCCCTCATAGAAGGCTATGGACTTCATAGACTTCATAGAAGAGTTATTTATTTATTTATTTTAAAAATCAATTTGATAGATTTTCAGTATTCCAGGTAGTCAGGGCACTGCTGTTGCTCTTTCCAAGGCAAGAGGCTGCTGCTTCTGAAAGTCTTACTCACACCATACTAAAAGGAAGCAGTGGCCCAAGCTTCCTTTCCAGCTCATTTCCCCCTCCCTTTGGCTTGCCTTGATTTTACTAGTGCTGCAAACTAAAACATCATGGCTGTAATAGATGGATGACTATCCATCCACCCTTACCAGTGGACCAGGTGTGAGACACACCTTATGTTCAGTCTTATGCTATTGATGCACCAGGGCATTCTGAATAGTCCCTCCCTTGGTGCAGTCGCATCTCTGCTCCTTGCTCTACCATGGTATGTGGTCTGGCCAGCTGCTTGACTACCACCTTCACATTTACTCTGGAGACTGTCATGCTCTCCAACTGCTGCAACATATCATCATCCTCCCAACTCAGCAATTCTGCACTTAGGGCTTCTTCCACCTAAATGCAGTGGGGTAGACATTTCTCCTCATCATCTTGGTATTGTGTATCTGCAATGGTGAACTCGATTAATGCATTCTGAACATGCCCTATGCAACCTTCTCAGCAGCCAAAAAAAATGGCAAAGCAGTCTCTTTCCACCCAGATGTGGAACTGCTTTTGCTTCACCCTTAACATGTGTCAATGTTCTTTGCTTAGTACTCATTACTTGCCTACTGCCACTCAAGAGGCTGTAAGTGGATGTTGTTTTAGTGAGCTCATGGAAGGGATCAATTACTTGAGGGGCAGCTCCCTCCTCACTTTCTGCCTGGGAGGCTCTCACAATGCAAGTCAGTATCTCCAGAAGCAGTGGAGGATGGACACATGGAGAAGATATAAGAAGATCATCTACTGGAAATGATTAATATTATGCTTGTCATCATTTTATATATACAGTATATAAAATATGTTTTTTCTATGTTATTTTGGATTTTTCTGGTCTATTGTTTTTCTGTTGTAATGTACGCCTCCCCGAATCACACTACTTGAGTTGGATGACCTTATAAATCTAGTAAGCAAATAAATAAGTATAAGTAAGTATATACATAAATAAAGCCAGCCTCAGACAGTTTGTATGAGCAAAAGTACAACATTCAGAACTTCTAGTCTTTGCATATCCCTCTACCCACATTTTAGAAATATCCCAAGCTCCTGCCATTTTGCAGATTTGTGAGGCATACTCAAAGCTGTTGTATAGGGAAGGTTTTTTGTGACAACAGGGTGAACTCAAGAGGCCTCTTTGTCTGCAGTTATCCTGTACAACAATGCTTAATTAATGTGCTTTAGATTAGCATATTACCTGTATTTCAAAGCTTCAAAAATGGTTTAATTAAAAAGGCCTTTTGGTATTTGCTCCTACGGCTTGTAAGTTGGAAAGGATGTTGAAGATGGCTAGTCCAGCAGGACACTCTTGGAGCACATTCAGCTGTGTCCATAGTGAGGCTTTGGTTGGGTCTCTTGACTCTGAGACAGAAAGGCAAAAAATAGTTCCCTATTAAAGTCTCTCTCCCCCCTCCTCCAGCAATCGCTTGTCATTGCCAAAGCTGCAAGAATTTGCCATACTGTAGAGATCACCAATTATGAGCCCAGTATCATTTCATTTGTTTCATATAAAAAACAAACAGAAAACAGTTAGTGCAGTCCATAGCTTAACCTCTCTGGCTGGCTAGGAATGTGAAGATGTGCTGGGGCTGAGCTTGAAGCAGGACTAGATCAGCAAATGCAGAAACTATACAGACTTCTATACCTCTTTCAATGAAGGGCTGAAATAATTGCTAGTTTGGAGTGGAAAAGCTCAAGGAGCAGCAGGAAAATATGTTATATCACATCCTACTTTTTTGGTGTGGCTAAAAGGACAAAATCAGGCATCAGGAAATGACAGGAATCTGAATCGTTCTTTTCAGGCACTGCTATCATTTATCATCCCCTGTGCTGTGTTTAGTAAAGTGCTTTTCTGTTCTCCCTTGCTGCTTCAGAGTTATTACATGTCACAGCAAGCTAAAGGGAAAGGGTTAGCCACTGTCTCTCAATCTCATGCTCCTACCCTATAGACATGTCAGTCAATTCCAGATCTGAAAGTACCAAGACTGCCTGCCTTCCTGATCCTTTTACACAGCTAGAACTGGACACTGTTGCAGGTAGGTAATACTGTGCCACATCCATTATGCAATGCTTTACAGTTTGTGGCAGGAGGAACAATTCCAGCAGGTTTTCTGTAAGATCTTCAAAGACAGCAGCTGGTGCTAAAAGCATCCACAAGTTTCTTGACTGGGCCTGCCAGATAGTAAAACTTGTTACAGAAGTGATTTGGGGGAGCTGTACCTATGCAACACCTCATGATAAGTCCAAGAATTGGTCACAGAGATTCAGCATTAAGGCCCTTTGGGAGTTGTCAATTGGGTAGGAGGCGCCTGGGAGATTCCCTGGCGATGACGCAAACTTTTTTCTTCATCCTGTAGGAAAAAAAGACAACACTGCTGTGAATCAGATACCACTGCCAGTGGAGAATTGCCACCACAAAGTTAGTTGCTTGTCAGATTCTTGTGTAAAATTCAGGACCGATGCTAAAAAAGTGATGATGATGATAATAATAATAATAATAATAGAGTTGGAAGGGACCTTGGAGGTCTTCTAGTTCTCCAGTGATCTACCAGTGCAGGGAATACAGGATTTAGGAAGACTCCTCTCAAGTCAGTGGAATGCCAAACACAGTGCCAACATGACAGGTATGCTAATTTCATGCAACACCTGCTACTTATTATGGGGTTTCTTTTGGATTTGGTGAATCAATACTACATCAAATTTTCCCCCTGTTCAGGAAAGGCCAGAAAAATATAATAAAAAAATCTCAGAGTTACTCTCAGGGAGATCCCCTCCCTTGAAAAAACATGACATAACCCTGAAATGTTTCCTTAAAGCATGGTGCAACTGAAAACAGTTTTTGCTCAGCCATTCTAGATAAGACCGACCCAGAGGTTTCCATCTCACCAAACCAAAAGGAAACTTTATGGTAAGGATCAATATTCCATTCTCAATTTGTGCAAGGAGGCATCAAACAACAGGACAGAGGCAAGCTGATTTCATATCAAAGGTGGGTGGGAGGCTGTATTTTAGATCAGGGGTCTCCAACTGTAGCCCATCGGGAACTGGGTCGTGCAAGTGACGGGTCATGTGTGCATTTGTGTAAGCGGTGTGCATGCACATGAAACCATCCCCTCTCCTCCCCAAGATGGCCACTGGCGCCAGTCTGCAGAGCCAGAAAGGTCAAGGACCACTTGACAAAGGAAAGACACATTTTAGCAACTTTCAAAAACCTGTTTCTGCCAAAGCAAAAATTCCTCATTAAGAATAACCTAGCATTTATTTGGTTTTCATTTATTTGATTTTTATCCTGCCTTTATTTATTTTTGTTAAGTCAAGATCGCATACATACCTAGTCATCCTTCCTCCAATTTTCCCTACAACTACTCAGTGAGGGGGAGTTTAGATGAGAGAAGGAGTGACCCAAAGCCAACCAGCTTGTTTTCATGCCTAAGGAGGGTCTAGAACTCATTGTTTCTTAGTTTCTAGTCCAATATCTTACTGCCAATCAATCTGACACTACAACAGATGAAAAGGAAAAGGAAAGTAGGAGCTTATATATTGAAAAGAAATGTGCAATTTGATAGAAAGGAAAAAAACCCAGTACTTAAGGACAGTGATTCCCTAAAATAACAAAAGAGCAACTTAGAAAATGGATTTTTATAGTAAGTCATATAAGCCTTATTTTGTAAATAATCCTATTTAGTGAATTCAAATGGTTGCTCCGTGTTTATTGTTGTCAGGCCCAAATTCAAGACAGATTTGAATGCTGCGATAGGGCGGCCTCACTAATCACCAGAGGAGAGAAAAAGTTGACTTCCCTCTCTCTTCATTTTCTGGATCTGATGAATCTATTGATCTTTAGAAAGGACATTGAAGCATGACACTGGATGGTTGCAAGGGCAAGGGAAACCAGCCTGGTGCACAGTCATGCCTCCTAGAAGGCTGCTGATTGAAGGGCTGCAACATGGGAGTGAACACCTCAAACCATCAAAGGTGTTCAGGGAGAAGGAAGACTTCGTGCGCCACCCAAGGCCACATGGTAGTACAACAGGAAGAGGAAAGGGTAAAGGAAAGTAAGAAGAGAAATCAAGATGAGCAAAGGACACAGCATACTGTAGTTGGCAGCTCAGTGTGTAATGGCAGAGCAGAATGAGCAAATCACATTTCTCACAAGAATTTTTCAAATATAAAGAAAATACTCCCTGAAAATACAAAAAGAAACTGCTTTCTAGAAACCAAAAGCTTCCCATAACATGTTGTGTTGTGAAAGGAAAGAAGGTCTGGGACAAGAAATTGGAGTAAAATATTATAAACAGTTAGCAACTGTTTACAAGTCATGCATTTTGCATCCCATTACGTTTGTCTCTCTTCTGCCCTGGGGATAGCATAGCTGGTCAATTTGCAAGCAAATTAATTTTTAGTTGCCTCACCGACTTCTTCCTCTTTTGGCAGAGCATAGGGATTTCCCATAGAAATAGGAAAATATTCCTTGTATTCTACTGCTATCTAACCTTGTCGCTTGCTCTTTAGACTACAGTGGTCCAAAGGGAAAAGTCAGCTTGTTAGGGGGAAATTCAGCTTTTAAACTGTCCTTTCTTGACAGAAGAAAAGCACAAACAACATATTCATGTTCCAAGGACGGAAATACTGTCCTTGCATTGTTCATGACCTAGGAAACAGGAGCCATATTTCTCAAGGGCTGAATGCCAGATGCCAGCTCCCATGCCAATCCAACTCTTCTATGGACAGGCTCCTCTTGAGCTCAGAGAGGACTTACTGTTTCAAAGATAGCATTCTGTTCAGCAGGAGCAAATAGTAATTCCTGCCCCTCTTCCTCCCGTACAGCATCCATTCCTTCCTCCTCATACTCAGTTAGATAATCTGACTCTTCTCCTGGTTATGGACAAAAAAGGCTTTGGTAAACTTTTATAACATTTTCTTCCTCATAGCACAGAAACCACCTTCAGTTCTTTGCTTAGTAGCCACTTCTTTGTGTAAATGGATTTCTCCCATTTTATTCTGGAGCACAGGGTCAAGTATACACAGAAGTCAATTAGACTACTCTTATTAAGTCTTTGGATTAGCAGAAAGGTGTCTCAGGACCACTTGCTGAGTTGGGATGAACTCAGTGCTGTGACATCTAAATTGAACTCAGTAAACACTGATACTGTACTCACCATCAGCATAGCCCTCAGACAGATAGCTCTTGGCTGGCTCAATGCGAGAGATAATCTCTGCCAGATCTGTGAATCCTCCACTAGGACACATCAACACCTTGGGAATGAAAAGAGATGCCAACATTATCTGAAGCTATCTTGCCACAATGTAGTTGTGCAATTTAAGTCTGATTCAATTTGAATATTCATATTAATTTGGAAAACTGATTTGATTTTACCATTTGAACTGATCTGGAAAATCAGGTTTGACTACATTAAATTTAATTTGAAACACTGTAAACCTATATCAGGTAAGTTACTGCTGTAACTCTGAGCACTCTGGATAGAAAGACTGGGTATGATCCCTTAAATAATATTGCTGGGCAACTTAGACTCATTATTCCATGAACCATATGATACCTATTTAAGCACATCTGCACTTCTCAACCTTTGTTGTTTGGGAATAGCTAGAACTCTGATTCTTTATTATTACTTCAGATATTTTTTTTCTAATTAGCAGGAGAAGTTACAAGTAGACAAAATTTTGGCAGTTCCTCCCCTTATACTTACATCCATGCGTTTGCTCTCATAGAAGTCTGCTGAGTGCCGGTCCTGAACCATTTTTTCAATTATATCACCGCGGCACCAACCACCAAATACCACTTTTCCATGCTGATAACCTACATCCTAAAGGAGAAGGATAAAGAGAAGTTACTCCAGAATAGAGGTAGTCCTCAACTTATGACTATAACCGAGCCCAAAATTTCTGTTGCTAAGCAAGACAGTTAAGTGAATTTTGGCCCATTTTAAGACCTTTCTTGCCACAGTTGTTAAGTGAATCACTGCAGTTGTTAAGTTAGTAACATGGTTGTTAAGTGAATCTGGCTTCCCCATTGACTTTGTCAGAAGCTCACCAAAGGTGATCAAATGACCCTCTGGACACTGCAAGTGACTTAATATGAGTCAGTCACCCAGCATCTGAATTTTGATTACATGACCACAGGGATGTTGCAATGGTTGTAAACATGAAAAACGGTCATAAGTCATTTTTTTCAGTGCCGTTGTAATTTTGAATGGTTACTAAATGAACTGTTGTTAGTCAAGGACTTCCTGTATTCTGATCTGTAGGAATATTTCAAGAAATGATCTGTACTAGACTTCAGATCAATTGGGACTAACACTAATTCCAGCTAACATGCAAAGCAAATCTAGGATCCAATTCTCAAGAAAATGAGCCAAGGAATTCCAAAGGAAGTCAAACATGTTTCAATAAGACTAGAAAAGTGTACCCAATACAACTTTATTCCCTGCATCTCAATGGAAGACACTAGCCAAGGGCATTTCTGCAGGCAGTAGTTGTTCGGGATCTTATAGTGTGGAAGGGGCAAATCAACAATTTTACACTGTTATGTATCCAGGTTAAAGGGATGATGTTAAACCACTGAAGATAAGATAATCTTTATTGTCATTTTCTTTACTGTGGGCACAACGGCACACATCAAAAATGAAATTTAGTTGCCCGCTCTCAAAGTGAAACACATACATGATGCACACCTAAACATACTATATACAACTTATGTACAGACCCACACCCCTACATATACATAAAAAATAAATATTAAATACTGTCCATCTTGAATACATAACGGAAGGAGGAAGCTTGAGAGTTCACAAGGTTAATGTTGTATGGAATGAAACTATGGCTGAATCTGGATGTTCTGCTACGGATACCACGAAGCCTCCTCCCAGAAGGTAACAAGGAAAACAGGTCGTGAATAGGATGTGTTAGTGTCCCAGATAATCTTACGGACTCTGCTCAAGCAGCGCTTCTGTGCTATGTCCTGGATGGGAGGGAGGGAACTGCCAATGATCTTTTCGGCCATCCTCACCACTTTCTGCACCGCCTACCTGCTTTCAAGGACACAACTTAGCCCTCCAAGCTAGGAATTTTTAAAAATACTTCTGGGTATAGCCAGCTAGAAGGCAGAAATATAGAGATTAGAGGAAAATTTTCAGATTATCTGAATGTATTGCCTCTAGATGAAGAAGAGGACTGGCAATTAAAAAAAATGGAAGGCTTTCAGTTTTCCGCTGTCATATACTGGAATGCGTTTTCAGTTTGGTGATCCCTGACGGAAGCCTACAATTTGGGCAAAATGTAACTGCCAATCACTAGGATTTAGATTAAATCTTGAGACTGATTTGAATGACAGCTCATTCTTGGAATGTACTGTATGCTGGAGAGAGATTTAAATTTTAAAAAGTATGCTAAAGATGCTGTTTTCTCTTTGATAGTGGATAACAGATTGCAAAGTTGGTCTTTCTCGGTCCTGTGAATCAGCAAGATGAGGCTGCTTCACAGCAGCCCTTTGAATGTAGGAATGCCCCCTTTATGATTTATTACTGCGAAATAACAGCCGGCCCTCAAACTCACATAGATTTCGTCGAACTTTCCGAAGTCCATGGTTTTGAAGCGATCGATGGGAGGGCGAATGTACTCACAATATGAACTGCTCTTCACCACCTCCAGCTGTCGCACACATGAGACGTAAGCTAGGCGGGACTGGATTTCCGCCATGTCAGGTACCTGAAAGGCCAAGGTGCTCATTGGTCATAGAGAGATATGTGAGGAGATTCCTCTCTGAGCTTCCTTAATCAGCTACCCCTCCTTCTAAATAGCCACATGTAGATTGCACTGTAATGGTCCAAATGGGAGGCGAGTAAGGCACAAATGGCCATTCCCAGGACCTAGAAAAGGGTATAACTGGCATACAAGATGGATTTGTGCCTCTTGGTTATGGTTCTAACATGATTATGACCCCAGTGAAAGAAAGACAGGATGGTAAGATGACTCTGAGACACAATTGAAGAATCTTAGCAATCATACTGAACTTGCCAGGAATATTAGAAGTATTTTCCAGTCCAACCCAGCCTGAACCTGCAGAACAAGCTTAGAAAGACAGAGCATGTAAGCCATATCTGTAACCAGCCTTTGGTAATCTTGTCCTATTAAGACATGCTGCTTTACAGGAAACCACTGTATTGTGAAAGGCTTCTGTTAGTCAAGAGCAGTATTTAATATGCCAATCTGTTAACAATTCTGCAGATTTTTAGAATTATTCTACTTCTAGGTATTTAATAAATATGATTGTTATGTAATGAAAAGTGTTATCTGACCCACTTAAAGTGCCATCCTATACATGAACTTTGCTGCTGGAAGGCTTTAAGATTTTGTGGAAGCTTTATTAGATAAGATAAACTACCACCATGAGAAAGATGCCAATGGAAGACCCCAAATTAGAGATAGAACTGGCTCTAATCCAAGACATCCAAGCAAATGTAGCAGAAGAAGCCAGAGATTTATTTTCACATGCACTATTCTCACAAGATCTCTAGTATTCATGCAATGACATTTTATGCAGTGGTCTCAGCAAATAAAAATAGAGAAAGATTGAGAAACATTGTAATTTAAATGCTTAGAAAATGTAACAGAAACAATTCCTTGAAGAGAATTCACCCAGCTAGTATCAGACTGGCATATCCAAGCAGGAATCTCCACCCACAAGCTACAGGAGAAAGAGAGAGACTCACCTTGACCTTCTCAGCCCAAGGGTTGAGACGTTTCCACAGCAACCACCAACCTGACAGACTATCCCCATAGTTGCAGAGGTCAGTCTCATCCTGGCTTCCCACATCAATGGCAATGACTTTCTTGGCACCCATGTTACGAGCAATGTCAGCTACATTTAAGGGGGGAGAAAGAGGGAAATGTTTCAGGGGAAAGACAATGTGAAGAGACAAAAGCTAAGAACATGCCACCACCACCACCAAATCAGAGAGTTGGGGAGAGCATTTTTTGATGTTGTAGAAGGTAATTCCCTCTGACCAACTTTCCTTTCTCAGCATTAACATCAATCAATTGGGCCTCCTTTATAGGAAAAGCGGTTTGTCATCATGAATATAATTTCTTTGCCCTGCTGAAAACTTTGGAATAGCAACCTCTTAACTAGCTACAATTGGTCCTAGAAGGGACAGCATCTCCCTTTATATTTATTTTTGGAGAAAGGTCTAGACCAGGGGTGTCAAACTCGCAACATCACGTGATGTGTCGCAACGTTTCACGACTTTTTTTGCCATTGCTGGCAATGGAGTGGGCGTGGTTTCACTATGATGCATCCGGCCTGTGGGCTGACAGTTTGACACCCCTGGTGTAGACAGAAGGAAGGACAACTTGAATAACTTAAGTGTTATTCAATAAAGCAACATGAAGCAGCTGACATGCTTTCAGTACTGGGCAAACATTTATAGAAATAACTGTGTATTACATAGACAGCAGAAGAGTTGGCTTTTCCTATTCTTATTTAGACATTATTCTTATAAGCTCTTAAGAGCAAAAGAATAACAGTAATGGGGGAGAAATCCTGCTGCTTTAGCTTTCTCTAACCTGGAGTCTTTCAAACCTGCCAACACTTACACTTTGAAATTCCTAACCAGCATAGCTTTTAATGGGAGTTAAAATCCCAAATACCTGGAGGACAGCATGTTGGAAAGTTAACTGTTAATTCAATTATATTAAATAGTACACCAGCTCTTTTAGCCAGCCCCAATTATTTGTAGCTTCCCATTTGAAACTTGCATGTTGGCTTAAAATGGCATCTACTCTGTGGCTTGCAGAATGTGTAAGTGCAAGTACCTTCATGTAAAACTGAACACAGTGGCCTTTTATTATTATCCCATATGCAGGGGGGTAGATAATGGTAAAAATATGAGGTAATGCCTCCTTGTATTTTCAGAGGCAACAAGCAGATAAACAGAGGAAGAGGTTTAATATTCTTCATACTAGTTGCATAGTTACAAAAATATAGCAAAGAATATACAATGTGGTCAATTTACAAAATGCTTCAAGCTTAAAGCACACAAAAACTTACTTGCTGGAATGGACAATATGGCAAATACACAATTATTATTTCTCAGAAAACCAAGCAACACAAGAAGCATTTGGCAAAGCCAGCTCAGGTTTGTTAAATCATAGCCTTTCTCAGTTCGGGCCTGAGAAGGCCTTTTCCAGGAAAAAAGATTGCTTGCCCAGCTAGGAATGATGCTGAGAAAATGGTGGGTGAAACAGACTTAGAAAAGTTTACATAAATAAGTGAAGATCTAGAAAGCAAGTCACTTTAGAAAAATCTTGATAAGGAAATAAGTAAGCTTAGCTCCAGGGAGCCAAAATTATAAAGAAAACACCAGAATATGCTGATATTTCATGGACATTTCAAGAGAAAGAACCAGCGAGCACATTTATTTGTTCCCATAAGTACAGAAACAAGAAAACACGTACCTAAATTTAAGAGAAATATCTGGAAAAGAACAATTTGCAATAAAGCTAATATATAAAGACATGACAAATAACATATCTAGAATGCTTAAGAAATCATTCATTGGAACCAAAAAGTAGGTTTATTGTCCATTGAATGATTATCTAAAATTCTGTGAATTCTGTCAGTTTACATACCTGCCACTTGCAGGGCATGTGCTGGGCAAAATGGAACAAAGCTCCATAAAAAGTCATCTGAAATGCAAACCTTGGGAGAAAATGTGGAGATCATAGTTTGGTGAATATTCAGAACCAAACTAAGGACTATGCAGGACATCCACGAGTCTCCCAGGGTCTTCATTTCATAAAAAGTAACCATACTGGGGAAGGGAGTCTGGGGCATGAGGAGAGATCTAGTCTATTTCCAAATGCAAATTCTCTTCGAGGTTTTCTAGTCAACCCCCTGCCCAAGCAGAAGACACTATGCCATTCCAGACAAATGGGGGGAAATATACAGTGGCTTATATAGTCTGTGATGTTTTCCATCTACAGCCAAGAACAAATCATGGGGGAGAACAGAAATTTCCATCAGGGCAGTAATATGAATGATATTAATCCCCTCTTGCTCACACAGAGTGGGATGGCTCTCAGTGAAAGCCCAACATCCCAGATTCTTGCGATTTAAGCCAAATTTTGTTTTCTGACCATTTAAAAATAGTAGCAAAGGAGACCCTAAAAATGTTTTCATTACTCCAAATACTGCCGTCTTAGTTCAATTCTCGTCTCTTACCCCACCCTTTAATGGCTTCTATTGGAGGTCTTTGATCAACCACATCTTATTTGGTTGCATGATAACAAGAGGGACAACAACCGCTCTCTCCCAGCCTGGTGAGCAATGCCAATCTCATTGGACCCGGCAATGGACAATCTGTCAAGCGAGCCAAAATATCTTCTGCAGATCTTTTCTTCTTCTCCCTCTAGTGATCAGCAGCCCAAACTATAGCTGGCCAAATATTTCTTTGAAAGCAGAGCTCAGTGGTACCTTGAATGGGAATCAGAACATCTGATCCTTAAAATTAAGACAATCTCAGCCTGCTCTCTGGCAGCTACTACTTCCACAGCATGCAGCAAGGAAACTGCATGGCAATACAACTGAGTTAACCCCTTCACTCCAACTCAGGTTTTCCTAGTAGGATGTCCCAAACAGAAGATGCATGGTACATGATTTGGCTCTGGCTTTCATGATTTTTCATTTGCTGTTTTCCCCCTCATTTAGGTGAAAAACTTAATTAGGCTTTAGTATGGTGATGGTGGTAGGACATTGCTCATGCCTTTCAAACTTTTGGGTTGCATTTTATCTAAGTTTTCTTATATCTGTTTTGCTTTTTTAAGCTATCAGTGTTTCAAACACAGTGAAAATCTATTCTGAGAAGCTTTGAATCCCTTCCTTTGTGGCCAGAGAGCTCCAAATGGGCTCTTGCTAGTTTGATAAAGTCACCAGTCTTAAAAGTCTCTCTTCCCCATATGGCCTCCTCCGGTCCATGTTAGAGACCAGAAAACAATGAAATCCAGACAGATGTAGCCTACATGCCCTGAGAAGATAGCAGGTTTCACTTGGGGTCTCCTAGGTGCAATATATTCTTTCTTACTAAACTCTTCCCCTCCTTTGGCACAGATGTGTTTAAAGTTATGAATTTTTATCATCTGGAGGAGCAGTCAACAAAGAGTTCCTGCCAGCACAACAAAGGCAGTTTGCATGAAATCTGAGAAGGTAAGCTGGCAGCCACCAGAACCTTCTGCACTAGATCTCACAGCAATTGCTGCTGTCTTATTTCATAGAAAACTGGGATTTCAGTGGCTCCTTAAGCCTGCCCCCCCCCTCTCCGCACCAGGATATTTGCTTGGTATTTACAGCAGAGAATAAGAGAGATTCAGGGTGAAATAATGGAAGCCAGCCTCAGACCAGTCAGGCTTCACAGCCATCCTTCTCCTCCAGCAGATGGCTGCCCTGCTGTCACCAAGAGTGCCCAATACTTGCCTGGAAGGTTGTTGATGTAGCCGCCATCCATCAGTAAATTGCCGTCCTTGGGGTCGCAGAGTGGCGGTAGGTACCCGGAAAGGGTCATGCTAGCTCGCACATACCGCCACAGCGAGCCTAACCATGTGGGAACAAATGCAATCAGAAGAACAGAGAGACACCCAGAGCAGCAACGAACCCTTCAGAGAGGGATGGATAGAGGTGCAGCCCAACTTCAGCCCAGCTGCTCAGGCAGAATTCTGCACAGCACTTTATCAAGCAGCCAAGTAATATGCAGCCATCAGATTCATCACCCTGAGCCCAAACGTGGCCAGGTAGCCCGCTAAGCTTCCAAATCTACCTGGAAGCCAAGCAAGGCAATGCTTTGCATGTACTACCTAACAACCTAGTTTTCTGTGCCATGCAGAATTGCTGGCCTGAGCAAAAAGTGGTTGTGGGCAGAATCTAGGCTTGCCACCCCAAGCTTGTCATGCCCAGCCCTAGCAAAAGAAGGATGACAGTGGTTCGGAAGGAGGAAGCCACATCAATTCACTGCCTCCATCCCTCTGACCCACCTGCGTCCCCAATGTCCATCAGCCAAGATAGTGAGGCAAATGTGATGCTGACCTGGGACATTGTTAACATAGCAGCCATCCACAAGCAAGTGACTGTCCTTGGGGTCGCAGAGAGGAGGCAAATAGGGGGTGTAAGATGCACTGGCCCGGACGTAGCGCCACACGCTGCCTGCCGGATGAAGATGGAAATTCAATCAAAGGGAAGGTGGGAGAGGAGGAAAAGAAAGAGAGCACAGGACAGGAAGTGACATCATGAGAGAAGCTTCAGAAAGACAAAATGCACCTGCGACAAAAGGGAGTTTATGGAATGCTTTCCTCAATGTAGCACCATCTTCTTGCCCAACTGGCTTTCCCCTTTCAACTAATGTTCCTTTCAGCTCTTGTAGGTAAATATATCATTCCTAATCTTTACTGATGAGGGTTTTGATGAGAGCTACAGTTGTCATGGATAACTCCATAGTCATGAGTAGACAACATTTCCTGGTCCCTGTGACCCAGTACTCTGACACCACATGGATTAATCTGTCCTTGGCAAGTCATTTTTCTCTCTTGCTGCTCCCAGCCATTGGCCAAAGGCACTCAAAGACTAGGACTCACTACAAGACAGTCTCAAATCAAGGGAGTCCAGTTTTATGGGGAAGAGTAAAATCCCTTCTTATGGGCAAGCATATAATGCAGCAATACAGAAAACTCAAGAGAAATGGTTCTACAATCCATCAAGATCAAGAAGTCATGCTTCAAAACAGGAGGCTGGACTCTCTGATCACAGGGAAGCCAGATTGCTCCTGCCTATAAAATGGTCACAGAGGCGTACTTGGATAAAAAGGAATGATAAAGAACCTAAGAGGAACCTAAGAAGTTCTGCTGATTGAAAGGAATGGAAACTGTATACCAGGGCTTTTCAACTGGTGGTATGCTTACCACCTGTGGTAAATTAGCACGTGGCAGGTGGTACGCAGCCAAGTGTAGTGGGGGAGGGAACGAGCCAGCGCAGTGCAGGACTTACTCTGAGAGAGTCCTCCAGAGCTGCAGAGTGGCTGGGGTGGGGCAAGGGCTCCAGGCTCACCCGGAAGAGAAAGGAGGAAGAGGGGGGGCGGAGACAGGAAAGGCTATAAAAGGAGGCAGTTTGGGTGGGAGAGGGAAAGAGAAAAAGAAGCAGCCTTGGGAGGAGGCAGAGTCAGCTCTAGCTGTACCGAAGGGAAAGGAGGAGGGTGGGGGGAGAGGAGAGGAGATCAAGCAGGCCGGCCAGGGGCTGGCAGCAACAAACAGGCAAGAAATGCAGTGGGGGAGGGGTTGCCCTTCACGAGGAATGAAGAAAGACAGCAATGAAGAAAGGCAGCATCGGCTGGAGGTGAGGGAGGGAGGGAGAGAGATGGAGAGTGTAAGGATTCTTATGTGCTTTTGAGACTTTGAAGTTCTGGGTTTTGTGCAATGTGGACTTTGTGTTCTTAAGGAACACAATGTGGCAATTTCTATTTGGCTGATATCTCGTGTTAGCTTCTATTGCTTTGCTATTGTTAGCTATAAGTTTTGCTGCAAGGAATTTTGAAGTATTTTTCTCCTGAATGGATTTTGCCTGCAACATTCCTTTACTTATGAATGGAGCCATTTGGGGAAGCTGCCTTAGCCGGCAGCCAGTACTTATTTACATTTTGTTTTCTTCCTTAAGTGCCAGCTGCGCTCCTTAACTTTTCTTTCTAGCCAGTAGCAAATTCTTAAAGGGGAATGCGCCTTTTTAAGCTAGTTCCCTCAGCGGCTTGTCTTTTCTGTCTCTGAAGGCTTTTCTTTGTTTGATGAATATATGAAAGAGGGAAAATATGGTGGTTTTTTTTTCAAATTCTTCCTTCAGAAGGAGATGGGCATAAGAGGGAGGCAGGGAAGGAGGGAGGGAGGGAGGGAAGGAAGGAAGTCTTGCCTTAGTACTTGGCCACCAGCAGCTCTGCCATTGACTTTGCTTGTCAAAAGGTTGCAAAAGGGGATCACATGACCATGGGACACTGTAACCATCATAAATATGAATCAGTTGCCAAGCATCCAAATATAAATCACCTGACCCTGGGCATGCTGCAATGGTCATAAGTGTGAAAAATGGTCATAAGTCATTTCAGTGCAATTGCAACTTTGAACAGGGTTTTTTTTTTTGGTCAACAAGTTTTTGACACCTTGCTAGGTGGTACTCGAATATTGCCATATCCTAAAAGTGGTACAATCGGTGAAAAGGTTGAAAAGCCCTGCTGTATACAACACAAGTAGCACAACAATTCACTTGCAAAAAAGAAGAAGGTAGGGACAATTAAGTATTTTTTGAAGATTGCAACTACCAACTATTGCCAGAGTCTGAAAGCTGCACCTGCCTGGCCTAGCTTGCTATCCCCCCACCAGGTATGAGAAGAGAAGCACACTTGTCCCCATAAGGAAAGACACCAAAAACTGTTTCTCACTTAAGTACTGCTCGAAGGAAACCTAGCACTTCTAAGGTAGGCCATTCTGTGCTTCACCTCAACAACCTCACATATGCAGGTGAGGAGCATTGGTACTGAAGCTCCTCCACTTTAACTTGAAAGTTCTGTTTTCTTACATGAATAGACCTTCCCCTACCTTACAATTTGCCAACCTCAATACTGCCTACCTACCGGAGACAGAAGAGAAAGTGTTAGCTCTGTTAGGAAGGGAAGGAGAGTAGGCAGAGAATGAGAGCCAGGCAATTACAGCCTCTCCAGCCCCCGCCCTGCAGATGGGCATGGCTGCCAACAATGTCCCAGATGAGATCTGAAGTTTGCTGCAGCCAGGGGAGGCCAGGGGGGTGTCACAAAAACCTCCCTCCTCCCTTCACATACAATCCATCCCTCTCTGAAGCTGATTTCAAATTCCACTCATTCATTAGGTTTCACTAGCAATGATTCTTCCCCCTCCCTCCTCCAAAAATAAGCAGTGTTTGAATAACTAGCAACCCACAGTTTCTCTAGAGGAGCAGAGTTGGGAAACTTGATGCAACAGCCAGGCTACTCCAATAAATAAAAGGAACAGAACAAATGGCAGAACAGTTAGTGGGTTTAGTGAACAGCAGCAATGTTACCAAGGAAAGGCAGATTCAAAGCTAGCCAAGATTATTAAGAGACATGGCAAGTGGCTCAAAGAAGCCATAGATTGTAGGAGTTCTTTCCATTCTCCATTTTGCCTTTTCAGCAAAAGAATGTTTGCTGAAGGCTTAAGGCTAAGATCATGATGCACCCAAGCACGCTACAGATGTTCTCACATAATGTTCTCCCTCCCTATTTACTCCTGGAGGAAGATAAGATAGGAATGGTCTTCTTAAGCTACACCAATGATCATTCTAATAGACAAACAGCACTACTATATATTTCCTACCTCTATATATACAATAGGCTTCAGGCAAATTCCTACCACCTCCCCAGATGGCATCATATTCCCTGACCTTGCCGGAAAAAAGGTGACCTTCCTCTAATGAAGGGTTCTTCAGACATGTGCAGTCCCAAGCAAGCCCTGCAAGATCTTTGAGAGTTCTAAAATCTATCCAAATGGAAATATTCATTTCAAACAGTGAAAATTATTGCTGGACACAAACATAAGGCAATTCCCAGGAAACCACCTGGCACAACTCTCCTCAGCATGAGGCTGCAAAAGTGCCAGTACTGTTGTGGAAGGACACTTCAGGGTTCAGGTAGAGGCATACATCTTTTTAACATCTGGCCATTTTGTCTTGCACTTTCTGAAACTTAAAAAATACCAGAGGCCACAAAATAGATGTGGGTGGATCTCCTGTGGCCTCAGGAGCCCTTGGTGCATCCCTGCTCTCTAATATTTTGTAATTCATTTCCTTCTGGCTTCCCTGGCTCCTGCTGAAGTTCAGGAGAGAGCTGGAGGAGGAATGCATGCTGAATTATTAGTCAGTCATGACTACTGTGCTGGAGGAAAGATTCACTTACCATCTTTATGCACACGCATGGCAGAAGCTGTGATGTCTGTTGTCACATTAAAATATGGGAGCCACAGATCCTTCAGTTGACAAAGTGGAAGAGAATGAAAATCACATGGAAGGTCACAGTAAGTGAGAGGGAGAAAGGCTACAATGATTTGTACATTTACTGTATCCCGAATATGTGCACATACATTAACCCAAATTCTGCAGTTTACTGCAGTTCATTTGATCAATAAGGGAGAAATTGTGCAAGCGGCCTAATTTATGTGTTTTCTGGCCACCACAGGACCAAAATCTGGACCAAAATTAGCACCGATATTTTACTTCCCCTGGGTTTTGGAAACACCTACTATGGCTATTATGTGAAAACCTTTCAGACTGATGGATTTTGTGCAGCAAGTGGTCTTAGACCTTCAGCACTTTGTAGCTCATTCCTGTGTTGCTGAGAAAAGGATACCTCAATCTGTTTATCCTGGAACACTTTGTGAATACTGGTGTTGAAGGCAGAGCCAGAGAACATGGAGGTGATGGGGTAGGTGAGATCCAGCACAGTTGCAAACACTGAATTCATACTCTGTAGAAAAGACATGAGGCAGGAAACAAGCCATGAAAGACCAAAGACCACTGCATCATGATCTTTCCGGGAACCAGGGAAATAATGAAGACAGCAATCTAAATAATTTCTTCTCTGAACAAATGCAATACAGGCCACACCAAAGAAGAAAGAGGGGCATTCATTGCAATAAGTATAAAACAGAAATGGGAAGGGGTTAGAGAGTACTGGATGTGACATATCCGCATACATTATAATACCTACAGTTACACCATTTTTATATTAAAAAAACCTGATTTCAACCTGTTGAATTAACATGTTTAAGCAAAAAGACTATTTAGCTATGTTCCATCAGCTGTAAAAATATGGCAGACCCCAAGAAGCCTGGGGATCATGATGCATTTCTTCTGCAGGAGCTCCAAAACACCAATACATGCTGAATCCTTAAGCCAAAACAGCTAATTCATGGCTTCAGGATGAACAATCACTTTTTGTTGGACATGGAGCATCCTGAGATACTGCAATATAATTTGAAGGTGAATAGCTGAAACATGGGAATGTGATTTTCTGTGCATGGATGCATTAGGCCTCCAATCAACATTAGCTCTATTTCAATTTGTCCCCCACTGGAAACAGCCAGCTCCTAAATGATAAGGTTGCATTTTATAACACTTTCTTCACCCCTCAACCACTGAAACAGTTCTGCATAAAACAATCCCTCTGTTAAAACAACCTATTGCTTTCTGGCACTTAGGGAGACTAAGCTGGCAAAAAATTCAAAGAAGACAGCTACTCTACCACCTCACTTAATTTCCTTTATCTAGTCTGTGATGCTTCAGTTCCTATGCACCATACTCCAGACTGAAATTGCTGTAAAGAACCCCAGAACCTTTTCTCAGTTGCCAAAGGTTAGGCTCATGTATTTTGGTAAACAAACAGTGCAAATCTACCCTCATCTATTCAGAAGGAAGTTCAGGTGAGATCACTGGGATACAAACCCATTCAAGTATTTAGAGGACTGTAGCTTCAATAGCACACCTTCTCTTTTTGCTGTTTCTCTCAGCACTACTATTCTCCTACCTACTTTCCTTCCAGGTTTGAATATATGCTCACCTTTGCCCATTCTCTGGCCCGCTGCTTTGTGCGCACTGCACTCCTCTCCTCTGCATAAAGGGCCCCTATGAAGGAGCCAATCGAGGTGCCGCCAATCAGATCGATAGGGAGACTAGCTTCCTCCATGGCTTTGATCACTCCAATGTGAGAACAACCTCTGTGGGCAAGGGAAAGAACATCCTTGAAGCAAATCTGCTTCTCAATGTATCTTTGGTGTTCTCACCAAGTCATGAGAATGAGGCTGAATCTTTCATGCCTCTACTGTCAGGGAGGAGCCAAAGGTGGGAGTGGTTAAAAAAAAGTATGGTGGTAGTAGTAGTCAACATTGATAGGTTAGTGGTGCTAGTCAAAAGTATAAGCTTCCATGTTAAGGAGTACAGACCTCCCAACGTCTCTAAAATCCAGATGGGGAGAACAGTGGGATCCAGAAAAATTAGCCCATGGTGAGGGAAAAGTCACATCCTTCCTGCCTTTGGGAGATGCAAGTTCCCTAGTTTTGATGCATTGTTACCCTGAAAACTCTCCTGGCCCTCTTGATGCCAAGCAAACATTTCCTAATTCTTTGGGGCATATTACCTGGCTCCACCACCACCCAGAACCAGAGCGATGGTATTGCCTGTAAGGACTCGTGCCAGACGGGAGAAGTCACTGTGACGATCCGCATTCTTTTCAAAGACTTTCCCATACATCTCTCTCTATAGTGAAGGATGGGAAGGAGAGAAGGAGTAAGATTATTTTCATCAGCTCAAAAAAAAGGGACTCACAGAGGAAAGTTGTTTAAGTTCATCTGTTCCCATTTATCAACTTTTCCCCTCTACAAAGGGAAAGTCAAATAGTCCTTGGACCCCACTTGGAAAGGGTCCAAGAGCCTATTCAGCAACTTGCTGTTCTTTGTCTTCAAGGTGATGTACACCAAAAGAAGGAGTGGGGAAAAATCTGAAGTAGGAAATATTGACTCAGGATGAATAGTTTCAGGGGTCCCTGGGGGAAGGAAGCCTACTATTCAGAAAAGTTATAGGGGAATCAACATCCTCAAGAAAAGTGGCTGTTCAGTCTTACCAGGTTCTCCGGCAAAGCAAAAGAGAAAGGCCTGCCTAAGCCAAGAGTGAGCACAGAACAAGATGTAATGGTGAACAAACAGAATAGAGGTACCAGTTTGTTGGGACTGCGTCGAGAAAAGACCCTGCGTGGGCACTTGATGTGTAGATGCCCTGAGCACCAGCTGCGCATGTTGAGCCACTCCACTGTGCGGGCAGGGCTGGGGCCATCTTCACGGTGCAGGAGGATAAGCTGCTTTAGGGCCCGCACTGCTGTGTTCTCCAGCATCTGTTCTAGCTGACATAGTGGAGGGAGAAAGGAGAAGTCAAATCAATCATGTTCATTTCCATCATAACACAAACAGCTGTCTTTGACTGATTATGTTCTTACACCATCTTTCTTATGGAGCCAGATCAAGAGAGAGTCCAAACCCAAGTCTATTATTAGAACAGGGAAGACAATCAATTAGCTGGAGAAGCAATATTGACAGAAAGGCTAATAAAAGATGCTCTTTGATCCTATTGAAATCCATTTTAAGTTCTATGCAGTAGGATGTGGGTTTGTACAATGGAAACCATTCATCAAACTCCCCCCTGCCCACCCAAGCAAGCTGATCTACCTGCTCAAGTAGAGTAACTGTACTTCTTAGACCAAGCTTCACTCTAGTCATGATGGACCCTTTACCTCACCCAGTGTAGGCTCTTGGTCCCCCAGGCCCACAATGAGAATGCAGTCAGCTTGCCGGATGCAACGCACTGTCCAAGGAGTCAAGGTGTAATCGGTCTGGTACAAAACAATGCGATGAATGTCCTCTTGCTGAGCTAGCCAGCCAGACAGTCGATATTCATGGATACTGTAAGGGAAGAAAAGCAAAAGAAAGTTTTCTCATTCCAGTCTCACTGACAGCACTGTAAGGAGGGAAAGGGGATAGAAAGTGCCCAGAAAAACAAGTCAAGATCAATTTCCATCTTGGACTTTACATGATTCTAGTCAACCATTTTTGTTCTTCCAGAAATTCAACAGTGCCCAAGAGTGGTTCTCTAAAGGTATAAAAGCTATTTCCTGTTGCTCCTTTTTCTTGATGATGAACATTTTTTTTAAAAGATGAAGATTGGCCTCTTTCAAATCATCTTACTCGAAGACTGAACCTATACACAAACTCATACCATTATACACATTATACTTATTGTTCAGACTCATGGAGGAACTCTATATTATGTACCAACTCTTTGCTGATTGAATAACTATGATCCAATAGATAAGGGTGACTTTAAGAATCAGACAGAGGCATTAATATTGAGGTCTTGCATGGTTGCTTTGAAAAAAATCAAACCCTCCAAACTTCAGTTTTATAGTTGGGAAAAAATCAGATATCCAGAAAAAACATTTTCTAAATTCTATTAAAAGACTATTAAATTGTCTATTAAAAGACAGTTTTATGAGCTGCAACCACTTCATCAGATGAAAAGGGGAAGAGCACAAATAAAGCTCAACAAATAAACTAAAAATGTAGCACAATCTAGTTCTATCTGGATAACAGAAAACCCTCCCTGTATTTTTTTGATGCTGCACACAACCTTCTTCTTTGGGAGTAAAGGACTCTCACAGCATTTATGATTGTCATTATGACAATGTAGCCTAGATGCTTTGATGGAAATATCTGCCAGTGTATTTCCCTACAGGACACCATGGACAGATAGAATGGGTAAAACAGACTATATGGCAGATTGTGAATACTTTCGGGGGAAAGAGTACAATATGCTACATCCCATCTCCATACGCCAGTATCTGTGATTATACATTTCTGCTTACAAGCTTAGGTGTGTTCTCAACCCACCTATCCAATGCTGATGCCCCAAGACGAGCACGGATTATGTCACTGGTGAGCAGCAGGGTTGGGCCTATGAAGAAAAAGAAGAATGATGACAAAAGCAGAAGAATGAAGCAACACAAGGAAAGAGACCACTAACAAGAGCTCACCAATTGCATTCAGAGCATGTTTGAGTTCCAAGGTGAAGGCTGCCATGGGCACCTCATCACACACTGGAAGGACTGCCACTGTTGAGAGATTACTAGCTGGATTGGTCAGTTCTGAGCTGGAGGTCATGCCAAGACCTGAACCTATATGGAAGATACAATAATCACTGAAACAAATACCTGAAGTACCTGGCAGCAACATTAGATACTCGCAGCCACAACTCCATAGCTTTCTGTCATGCTAGGATGCTCTTTCAAGCACTGATGCTTTTTGGGTCATGTGGCAACAATTTGGTGCATAGCCTGAAGTGGGACACTTACCTGGGAAAGGGCCATGTAACTGCTGCAGATTCCCCAGGATCTTCTGACTCAGTAGGTGGATAAGCCGGGTGACAACCTATATTAGGCATTAGAAGATTGGAGAATGCCAATGCCCAGAATGCGAATAATAATACATATAGTATACACAACCATTTCTGAGTCTGTGAAATACCCAACTGGTGTGATGCTAGCCTGACTTCTTAAAATGATTTTCTCCCTATTCACATCTAAAAAAGTGTTCACAATGCCTTGCCACTGCATTCCTCCATACTCTATTAAAATGCAACTCCACATGTATCCTGAAGTATTCCCCTGGATATAATAGTATATCTTTAACTCCTTCTAGAAAAAGCATACTCTCAGCAATGAATCCACCTTGCTTAGAAGATAGTATGGTTTGCTACAACATGGAAAAGCAGCATTTTCTGTCATGATTTCCATTTGTAAACCTTTTGAAGACATGATGATTGTGGGGGTTAGTGTTTTTCTCATAATGCAATTGAGCCAGTTCACAGCAGACAAGAAAAACTCAACATGAGGGTTTACTTTCCAGTTCAATTTTGATCATAAGGTTACTTTGAAAAACTAGAAGCCTAAAACATATGTTGTTTTGTTGGGGCTATCCAAAAAGTTTGCATAAGAAATTAACAGTGCCAACATTTGTATTATTAACACATGGTGAGCTAAATCAAATAATGAAGTGGAGTAGTTATCTACATATTCATTTTCCAGATCAGTATCTTATAAAGCTTTACAATCTTTCTTTACATTCAATATTTCTGAACACTTATAAAGCATCTCTGTGTCCAAAAGATGCATATTATGCCACAGAGATCCTATGCGCACAATGTGCACACACATCCTGAGTGGAACAAAATCTGCAGAATGTCCCAAAGATGCTTTTTCATGAGGCAACTGGACTTTCTTGTTTTGCTTCTCATCCAAGAAGCTTCTTGGATGAGAAGAGAAATGTTTTCAAAGAAAAAACTAGAAAGTCCAGTTGCTTCATGAAGAAGCATCTTTGGGACAACTATGACCTGGATAACTGAGAATCTCCATAGACAAAATCTGCGGAACCATTTGCAAATTCAGGAATGAGTTGTACACCAGGACTGCAAAGCTTAGTTCAAATAGAAAATATGGAGAACCCCTGAGCATTCACCTGAGGGTAGCGTCTTTTGATGTTGTTGAGAGTCCCTTCTGGTAACTTGGCCAACTCTGTGTCCCGCACAGCATGGACAGTAGTAGCTCGTACTTGATGGGTCAGAGCTTCTACCTATATCACAAGAAATGGGTCACAGTAGGTAAATCACATCACAGTCTTCCCACATGAAAAAGAGCGCTCCTCAGCTAGTGAGAGATGCTCTTCTGTAGGTATGAATACCTTGTCCTCACTTAATAATAATAATTGGGACGGCAATTTCCATTGCTAAGTGTTGTGGTCATAAAGATGATGTCATGTGACTATGATGCTTAGTAACGGCAGTTCTGGAGGTCTCTGGTTACTGTTGTTAAGTATGAATTTCATGATCACGGCTTCAAAATATTCAATTTTTATTAAGGATTTAAATTACAATATTATGATGTATTGTCTCATTTTGTAAGTCCCAGTACTAATTGATATTAAAATCAGTTTAATATTTTTTTTGTTTCTACTGAGAATCTTTAATTTTCTAAAATTTTAGTCCCCCAAATTTAGTGTCTAGTTTTTAAAATTATAAATTTACTTATCTTTGTTATGACTTACAATAGCAAGGTAGCCAAAATATATTTGGTTCCCACAAGAACCTATTTATTTTCTTACAGTTAATTCCAAAAGTCAATATTCCAAATTTATGTGGACTCTTAATTTATTTATAATTTTCTTAGACAAAAATCTTACTGTTTTTGCTGTTTAATTCAAATTCACTCTTAAGTTTATAACTAATTTTGTTTTGTTCAGAACTGAAGCTAAACTCACCTGGCAACTTTCCAAAGTTATAATTCCAAAGGTCTTAATAGGTTTAAGATGGTTAATAGGCAATTTCTAAAACTGTTTATATAGTGAGGCTTGCAAACCTAGCATCCTTTAAAAGCAGGATGGCTAATCCCTTTGTGAAAACTCTTTGGTCTAGCTGTCCCTCACTGCATGTAGGCATTTCCCTTACTTAGAACTTACCACTCCAATGAGGTCCCCACGCCCATATTCCCCAACGAGTTCCTTCTTGCCATTGGCCTTCTGGATGACAGAGCGCAAGCGCCCATTCAGCACAATGTAGGTGCAGTCAGACTTGTCGCCTTGCCTGGAGGAAAAGGAAGAATCATGGATTAAATTAGTCCCCAGTAAAGCCTGTCTCAAACTAAGTTATTTCTGTGCAAATATCATGGCACAGTGTGCATCTAACTGAATGGGATTCTTTAGCAAAAGAAAGGCATCACTTTCGGTGAAGACATGGCTAGCACCTGATACGCCTATAGAATCTCCTCTCTCTGGACTGTAGTTTTTCCAACTTAACAGAAAGAACAGGCTTCCTTTCATTTATCTGACTCTCCTGGGTTAGGGAGAGTCCCAGAATCATCCCTCAAAATCCTCTGAAACAGCAACAGTTTGCAAATGGTTTTAGAAACCGTGCTTCAAAATAGCTGGTGAGCTGAAGCTGGGAGGTGGGGCTGAAATCACGTCATTATTGGATAAAACAGACATTTTGGAATTTATTTTTCAAACGGACAATAAGCTGTGCCCTTTATTTCCTAATCAATTTATGAGACTACTGTGTTTCCCGAAAGTAAGACCTACCCCAAAATAAGCCCTAGCTTGATTTTTGGGGGTGGGCCTAAAATAAGCCCTACCCCAAAAATAAGCCCTAGTTTTGGGACAAGGCACACACCTAAAAATCAAGCTAAGGTGGGGGTGGGGGAGTGGAGCTGCCCCACGCACCCTGCACCCACTTACCTTGCAACCAGGTCTCTCCTCGCCGGCCCACTACTTCTCCGGCATTCACAGGCTGGCATTTTGCAGTCAGGCCTTTCCGGAAGGCCACTGCAGCCAAAAACCAAGCTATGGATTCATTGCTCGGTTATCAGCTGCAGAGGCCTTCTGGAAAGGCCTGACTGCGAAATGAAGGCTGGAACACCATTCTTGGCTGCAGAATGAAGTTGCTCCTTCAGTAGCAGAAGACGTGGGCTGGCTGGGTGAGGCTGTTGGTGCCGGAGATGAGTGGAAAAGCCACCCCCCAAAAATAAGATCTGGTGCCTCTTTTGGAGGCAAAAAAAAAAAAAAGGAAGACCCAATCTTATTTTCGGGGAAACATGCTATTATCTCTATTAGCTAAAAGAGGCTCTCTTTAGTTACAGCTTATCACTCCTTTCTGAGGCTATGCAACATTTCTGAGATTCCTTTATTATTAAATGACAAGGAAAAGTGTTGCTGGAGGCAGCTAAAATAAGGAGGCATTTTGAAATAAGGATAGAAGTTATGGTCTTAATTTACTGCTTTTAAAATAAACTGTAGCCCTGTATTGTTCTGGTGGTTGAAATTTTCCAATTTTCATGAACTCAGATTGGCTAGAAAAAATGAATGAATAAATAAATAAATAAATAAAAATTGTGAACACTAGAGGGAGCTACGAAGATGTTTAACACTCAGCTGGAGTCTGTGGTCATGGACATTTTTGAAAAGCCCATACAGAAAATAATTTATACCATAAATCAGCTAGATGTCATGTGTCTGATTAACGAAACACTTAAAAGGACTTTCAGGCATATTTTTCTCCTAAAAGCATTTATTAAGGTTACAGAGATGTCAGTACGGCATGGTGGAAATGCTTAGATCTGAGATTCTTTTCCGTTGCACATACATTCCAGGCATTTTTCCCTCCCCTATTTTGGGGTCATGGTTCACATCTTCCAATTAACTTGGAAGATGTGATTTACTTCCGGTTTCTTTTTCCTGGGCTTTCCTTATTTTCCTCCCCTTTCACTGTTGCCTGATTTAACTATAAAAATACCAGACAGTTCTGCATATTGTCAAAGCAAGAATATACAGTATTTGCAGCGTTGACACTAGAGTCCAAAGATACTAATTATACAGAGGATATTAAAAAAGAACATTATCAACCCACTGTAGAAAATTATCAACCCACTGCGTCAACTCTACAAATGCTGGACAATGCAAATAATCTAACTGTATCTTTCGACTATAAATCTGACACCAGTTTATATTATGGTGATGGTTTGAATATAACCCTCCCCGTGCAACTGAAACAAGAGTGCCAAGTAAATTCACAACTCTTAAGAGGTCAAGTTTGGGATTTTTTTCCTCATGGAAAAAAGGTCAAGAATTCTTTGAGAAAAAAAGATATGATAGACATCTTAGAGAAGGAAACTTTATTCTACGAGGATTTGCTCCAGGTTAATCTACAATGTCTAAAAGAACAGTCTTGGGACATTTTTTTCATGGATATAAATAAGGCTGAGAATTTCTTGAAGAGACTTGATAGACACTCCTGAGAAGAAAAAGATGTCATTCTATAAAGACAAGCTAGAGGGAGTAATTTAAATTTAATGATTTAATTAGTTTGGATGGATTTTTATAAGTTTGATATATGTATTGAAAGAAAGCTTTAAAGTAGCTTCATATGTATAAAATAAGTTTGTAAATGTGTCTTCTGTCTTTTTATGTAATTCTGAATAATTCCCAGAATTTGTATAATACTATTGATTAAATTTGAAAATGAAAACTGATTATCCATGAGGATAAACTCGAGGGAGAGATTTGAATTCATGATCTAATTGGAGTTAATTGGACTTATATTGGTGTGTAATTGAAAGAAAGCTCTAATGTTTTGTGTTCTGGGTTTAAAATGAAGAGTTTCCCCCCCCTTATATATAATACTTGAGTATTTTTTAAAGTTAGTAAAATATCCAAACTAGAAAAAGTGTTTTCTCCCTTTAGGGTTAAAAAATGAAATATAGAGGATTCTCTTAATATGAATTATGATAAAATTAATGAGTTAACAGAAATATATATTGTTCCCCTCAAAGAGAAACAGAGATTGTCAAATTGATTCTTTTATCCAAAGAAGAGAATATATCTAACCTTATTTCTATTTTGAAATTGCTTCTGGATTTTGGACTTGCAATGAAAAAAAAAATAAAACTTTGATTTTGTTTTTGCTAATTAGATAGGTTTATTGTTATAGAAATGGCTTGTACATACTGTTGTGTAAAAAGAAAGTCGCGGTTGTAATGCTATCTTCTACTGTGCTAAAGAGAGTCGGAAATCGGTGGCTTTTTCTTTTCTTTTCGCTCTTTACATCATTTTTTCTCTACTATTTTTTTGAATTTCTCTTTGTATTTTATAGTTTAATAAACTAATAAAAAGCTTTTTTTAAAAAAAAATAGCAAAGGAAAGGCATCAAATGGAGATCAGGGAGCCGAGAAAACAGCCCCTTTCTCTTACCTGTAAAGTGCTCGTCCAGCCTCTACTGCCATCCAATCAATAGCGAAGTCCATTTGACGCACAAAAGGCGACATGCGGGCTGCCACAGTATGAGCCACACTCAATACCACACTTGGCTGTTCCCTCATAACCCTAAGGAGGATTCAGAAGTTACTGGAAGACTACAATTTGCAATATATAGAAGTACCAGTTCATTTCTCAATTTTGCCAGAGTAGAGAAAGAAATAGATCCAATTTGGATTCAGGGAAGATGCTGCTAGTTAAGAATTACAGCAATGGGTGCGGTGAATTTCAGGGCAAAGCTAAATTAATTTTTACTTATTTATTCATTTTGTATGGCTGGCCATTTCAACAAGTGACTTTGGGCAGAGAACAATCATAAATCATAAAACCAATTAAAAATAAAATTATAATAAAAGCGAGGAAATATTATAATTCATAAATGTTAAAACAACAGGAGGCAGGACCTTTCACACACTTGGGGCTCAGACCGGGGCACATATAACCAAGTCTTAGGGCCCTTATGAAGTGCCAGCAGGGTCATGGCCATCCTGATCTCTAGAGGGAGGGTGTTCCACAAGGCAGGTGGCTATGGCAGAAAAGGCACACCTCCTGGCCCCGCTAGCTGGCATTCCCTGACTGGCAGGACCCAGAGTACGCCCATCCTGCCAGACTGGACTAGATGGGTAGAAACATCTGGGGAAAGACAGTACCTCAATCAATTCAGTCCTAAACATGAAACAGCACTTTTAATTGTACCCAGATGCACATTGGCAACCAATGCAGCTCATGGGGTAGAGGTATTATATGTGCCAAATAACACACCATTTACTGTATGTGCAGCTGTATTCTGCACCAGCTGAAGTTTTCAAATGTTCAAGAGAGTAGTAGAGTAGTCCAGATTTATGTATTCCTTTAGTGGAAATTTATGTGCTCCATTAGTCGGAAAAATGTGTACACTGTCTTAGTAGAAAATACTGTAAACTGTATAGTTTGTACACACATACACACACACACACTTATGTATATATCAGCTTTATCTAGCAAGAAGCAGAGATAAAAAAGGAGATGTGGCAGAGCAATATTTCTATACACCTCAACATTGTCCACTAAGAGTTCCTGATTTTCACTGCCCATCCTCATATTTTATCCACCTCAGTCAGGCTCCTTGATTTCAAAAGAGCAGCATGCTTAAAAAATCAGGCTTTGGATTCTGATAGAGCACCTTGCTTTTAAAGAAAGATAACCATTATTTTTAGGTAGCTTGTTCTACTGGAGAAGGGAAAGAGAGGAAAACTACACCAGAGCCATGAAAGCCCTTCCCGAGCAAAACCATATTGACAGCATAAAGCCACAGACATAACCATTCTTTTCTCTCTATTTTACCTGTGAGATGACCCAACCAACCTCACAGCAGAGAACAGCAAATGGCTTAGGCTAAAAGAACAGGAGCAGTTGCCGCATGTGAACATGGCTAATGATTGGGAAGTACATGATGCCAGGAGAGCTAGGCAGAAACCAGGCACATTTATGCAGATGGTACCCACTCATAAAAGTCAGACTTGGAGATCTTAAGAAAAGTACAATCACGATTAGCTTTGATGGTGAAAATCAGTGGTTCTCCAGTAAGCACTGCTAGCTGGCCCACCATCTCCCCAGGTTGCACCAGGAAGAGGCACACGTCTTCAGCCTTGTCAATCATCCGCTGGTAAACATGCAGACAGCCCCACAGTACAAAGTGCAAGCTGACATCCTGCCAAAAAAGACCAGAATAAGCAGCCTCTTCCAAGGGAATTGGGTCACCATTGAGCAGGATTCAGAAGCTTCAACAGATTTCTAGAAATATCTTTTTTAAACAAACAAACAAACAAACAAACAAACAAACATACATATATCTCTTTATATCTCTTAAAATTTAAATTGATGAGGTTGCTAAAAAGCTGGAAATTAGTGTTTTAAGAGGAGTGTTTTGTACCCAACCCTTCTTCCTTTCCTGACAAATTATTCCTCTCCTTTTCTAAGCCACAATCAAAGTGGCCAGATTCTTATTAAAAGCTACAGCATAGGGTTCTTACACTGTGGAAAGAAATCTTCAACAATTTGAACTGTGAAGAATTCACACATGAATATACACTGAAATTCAATCCACATGAAATGTTTCTTGAGAATTCTTTCCTTCTAGAACACAGTCCATCCAACATTAGGTCCTGATTACAGAAAAAAACTATTTTTGTTTAAGAAAGCCCTCCTTTCATCTTTTTTTGACCTTCAAGGGAAGGAGAGATGCTACAGTTGTCATATTTGTTTTTCTCTGACTAAGCTAATTTATGATCTTTTATGCCATCTACAATACTTACTTGATCTCCTTGACGGGCAATTACTGTTCCTGCCTTGGCATGGTGCAAAAGCACCCGATTATTTAGTAAGGATGAATCCTATGGAGAGAACGGCAGAGTGATATTAGGTGTCTTCCCTGTTTGGAATAGGAGCTGAATCCATTTCACCTCAATTACACCTTGTGGACCAGAGTCAAGAGTAAAGTCAGGAAACTAATTCTCTTCTCTATAGCTTTCCTAAAATATCATCATTGTCTAAAAGCTCCAAGGCGAAGCTATTTCCACAGCTTCTTTTTTTTAAAAAACTGAAGAAAATAAGTTTCAGCCTCACATGTTCCTATAGGAGAACAAGTAATTTACTAGTACTAGAGAACATTTGCAATATAGGTAGTCCTTGCTTAACCATGGCCCCATGGTAATTTGGCCTGCAATTTCTGTCATTAATGGACAATTGTAAAACGTGACATCTTGTAATCACATCACTTAGAGTTGGCAATCCCAGCAGTCTCTGTTGTCACTGTTAAGCAAGAATCACAGGTTGTGAGAGTTTACCCTGGGCGTCATGGTGACACTGATGAAAGAAACCAGAGCTTTGGTTTCCTAGTCTGATTTTGCTTTGTCTGGAGACCCAAAGAGGTCAGAAAGTCGCCCTGGAGAGGCAACAACAATAATAATAATAATAATAACAAGGAGGAAGGGAAACCTTGGGAGTTCGGAGCCAACGGCGGTTGGCCCGAACGGACTGAGGAAACTCTTTAAACAGGCGGAATAAAGGCTGCCGGCAAGTATGCAGACAGCCCACACCACAGACAGCTGAGTAAGAAGTGAAGAGCTGTGGCAATGTCGCCGAACAGCTGTCAACAACGTGTTTGATCTGGGTGAGATTCTTCTTTATTTCTCTTCCCTATGGACTTTTAAAATATAATTCCCTGAATTGGATAACTTTTAAAAGTAAAAAACCCCAGGAAGACTTGGGACGAAGAGAGTTAAAAGCGGTGAGAAATCTGGAATGGGGGAACAAAATTAAGGAATATAAAAATATGCAGAAAAGATTCGAGACTGATTGAAAAGAAAAAAATGATAATCTGTTGTTGGCTACTTTTTCTGATTTGGGAAGATTTTTTTTACTTTGTTGTGCAAGAGCATTTTAAATAAGTTTTACTACTGGATAGAGACACTATAACTAATGAGGACATCTAGTGTTGAAGGAAGATACTACAATAATACAGAAAAAATCAGAAAAGTGATGACCTTGAAACAATACCTGTGCTAAACAAAGAACATCCTGTTTTTCTACAAAAGAAAAAACAATGACTTTTTTAACTACATCATTCAACTTTAGACATAATTATTATAGAAACTATTTAGAGACAGGGTTTTTTTTCTTTTCTTTTTTTCTCTAATATTTTTGAACTGACAGAAATATTTGGATTAGACTTATGCAGTTGGTGTTTTTTATTTTGCTGGATTACAGCTTAAGGTAGTTGGCTTTTTTAAAAAAAAAATCTTGGGATTAGCCTAAAGCAGTTGGCTCCCTTCTAAACTTAGATTATAGCCTAAAGCAGTTGGCTTATTTTTAAATTTGGATTATAACCTAAAGCAGTTGGCTCCCTTTTAAACTTGGAATATAGCCTAAAGCAGTTGGCTCCCTTTTAAACTTGGATTATAGCCTAAAATAATTGGCTCCTTTTTAAAGTTGGATTTTAGCCTAAAACAGCTGGCTCTTTTTAAAGTTGGATTATAGCCTAAAGCAGTTGGCTTTTTTTCTTTCTTTTCTCCCTGTGGATTTACAAAATTTGCCTGATTGAACAATGAGTGCACCAAACCTCACTAAAATTACAAAAAAACCTGCTTCTGCACCCTCTTCTGGAACATCTAGTCCAGCAAGTCAGGGATCTATTGAAGCAATGTTACAATGAGAGAAGGCAAACAACCTCCAAAAAGAGATGCATGCAACCTTACAATTAATTCAAGAAATGATGCAGAAGAATCATCAAGAAACAAAAAACAATGTTGATAAGCTAAACAAACAAATGCTTGACATAAAGACACAATTTGAGATTCATCAACAAATGATCCTTAAAAATGAACAAAGAATTCAGAAGGTGGAAGATCAATCAGAAGATACTGGGGGGGGGGGGAAATTGAAGCAATAATGATAGAGAATGAAAGATTAGAACAATCAAATCAAAACCTAGAAGGAGCGGTTGCTGCTTTGGGAATGGAGAAGGCGGTACACTATTTGAGATTCCAGAACAAACTCGAAGATAAAGAGGAAAATATAGCCGAAGTGATTATTAATCTATTAGCAGAGGCCCTAGAAATGAAAAGACTGGAGATGCAGCAAGAAGTGGATGAATGAATTCAAGTTAGGCAAGGAAACACAAATTGTCCAGAGAAGTCCATGTAAATTTATGAAGAAAACAATGAGGGATGAGATATTAAGAAGAGTTAGAGATGATCCATTACAATATAAAGAAATAGTAGTGCTGAAACAGATTCCCAAGAGAATAAGGGATACTCGAAGACAATATCATTTCTTGACTACAAAGCTGATTGCAAAAGGAGTAAATTTTAGATGGCTGATGACAGAAGGGATTTTAATCAATTGGAATAACACAAGAAATCGTTTGGACTCAGTGTGGAAGGCAGAGGATTTTGATGAAAGATATAGAACATTTCTGGGAGAAAGAACACAATATCAACAAGAGGATGGAAAAAGCCAGAAACAAACAGAACGAACAATAGAGGAAACAATTACACAGGTGGAAGTGGAAAAAGAGAAGACGAATCAAGAAGATGAGGGAATAGTAAAAGAGCAGAGGATTACGAGATCAACAAGACCTAAATATAAGTAAACTAAAATGGAGAAGGAAATGGAATTTTTTCAGTGAATATAAATGGATTGAATTCCCCATCAAAAAGAAAAAGAATTTTCAAACAACTACAGAAATTAAACATTGATATATTTTGTTTGCAAGAGACACACACAAAAAAACAACATCATAAATTTTTGGAAAATCCAAAACTTGGAAAACTTTATTATACATCAGCTCAACAAAAAAAAGAGGAATAGTTATATATGTCAAAGAGACAATAGATTCCAAAATGATTTATGCAGATGAAGAAGGAAGAATATTAATGGTAGAAATATTTTTAAATCAAAAACAGATACTTTTGATAGTAATATATGCATCAAATAATAAACAAGAAGAATTTTATCAAAATTCTTGTTTATTATCTTTCATAGAAAAATAGTAGAAATGGAATATCAAAATATATGCTTAATTGGGGATTTCAGTGCAATAGTAGATGGGACATTAGACTATAAAAGCAGTAAATCATGGAAACAAGGAAGAAAAAGATTACCTAAGACTTTTTTCAATAAGATAGAGAAAATTGGTATTCAAGATATCTGGAGAGAAACGAACCCAGGAAAATCACAATACACATTTTATTCTAAAAGTCATAAATCTTGGTCCAGAACTGATATGGTTTGGATGACGCCTGAATTAAGGCTTAATGTGCAGGAAATGGAAATAGAATTAGGTACTTGGGCAGATCATAACCCCTTAAAAATGGTGTGGAAAGGAATGCAGAAAAAAGTAAGATGGACTTTGAATCAATCTATATTAAAAGAGAAAGAATTTATAGACTTAGCAACAAAAGAAATGGATTTTTTCTTCAAAGAAAATAAAAAAGAAGATACAACATTACAAAATGTACAGGATACAGCCAAAGCATATTTTCGAGGTGTAGCGATAACATACATGGCAAAAAATAAATAAAGAAAAGAGACAACAATGTCAGTTGTTAAGAGAAGAATTTAAAAAATTAGAACTTGAACTACAAATAAACCCACAAAAGAAAATATTGAAAAGACAAATGAAAATAATAAAACATAAATTAAATCTAATAGAATCAGAACAATTGGCACAACAAATTAAAAGGGCAAAGCAATTTTTTTTTGAAAATGCAAACAAACCAGGAAGATGGTTAGCTTATAAACTTAAAAAACAGAAGGAGAAAAAATTGATAAACAATTTAGTAGATGAAAAAGGCTGTTTACAATTTTAAAATGAAGCAATAAAAAAGATAATTAAAGAATACCATAGGAAACTGTATGACAAGGAAGAAACTCCATGGGAGAAAATGACTCAATATATGGAAGAAAATAATTTACCAAAAATTCCAGAAAACTTTAACACTATGTTAAATGAAAAAATAACAATGTTGGAATTGACAGAGGCAATAAAAAGACAAAAAAATGAAAAAACACCAGGACCAGATGGATTCCCGGCAGAGTTTTATGAATGTTTAAGAGTTATATTAAGTTCACCATTGAAAAATCTATGTAATGAACTTTTATTGGAGGCAAAACTCCCAAATACATGGACAGAAGCAAATGTTACTTTGATACCAAAAGAGGACTCAGATCTGACCCAGATCAAAAACTATAGACTGATATCACTACTGAATGTGGACTATAAAATCTTCAGTTCAATAATAGCTGAGAGGCTGACTTCCGGTTCTGGATCGCGGCGTGTGCAGTCGTGCGCAGAGCTCCCTCTCTTCGCTGGCTGTTTTCTCTCTGCCGGCAGTCCCTTAATCGGGTCGAAAAGTCGCCCTGGAGAGGCAACCACCGTCGAGGAGGTCCTCGTTGACTGTGGAAGGGCGGCAGCTCCTTCCGCGGTCCGAGCTAGCTCCTTAGGGCCGTCGGAGAAAAGATCGGCCAGTAAAATGGCCGATCAATTAGCTGCACCAGCCGAAAGTAAGAAGAACAGCTAAACGTGAAGAGCCAACGTGGAGAAATCCGGGTGAGACCTTTCCTTCCCTCTCTTAGCCCTAACTATTTTCCTATAAAAAGCCTCTGAATGACTTCCCTGCCCTAAGAGAGCAGCGTTTGTTTACTTGGGAAAAAAAGCTTTGAACAAAACTATAAAACAGTAAATTTTTATTGGATATTTAATTTTTGGGATATTTTGGGGCCCTGAAAAAATCCTTATTATAGAACATTATTATTATTATTTTATCTACTATGCTGGAGATATTTGCTTTTTTTTCTCTATTTTCTTAATGAGATTAAAAAAAAATTAACT